TCTCCCTCCTATATGCCTATGTGTTTTAACATAAGAACACTTCCATTCCTCCGGGAATTTGAAGTCGCAGGGAGTGCTGTGTAGCGTGGCGTCCCGCAGTAGGGCACATTACCACCACATACGCATTTTCAGTGGAAGAACTAGTGCTTCTTCAACCAAGCAGGGCTGCTGGACTAGGACTTTGACATGCCCTTGAACTACTATCGTATGAGGATGATGATTTCCCAGGGTGCTGTGATGGTGGGCTAGAGGATACAGTGTGGACTGCTAACTGTCAGGTCACCTGTTTGAATCCATCAGCCACTCCATGGGAGGAAATTGAGGCTTTCTGCTCTTGTGAAGAGTTCGTGTTGGAAGCCCACAGGCGCCGTTCTTCTCTCTCCTGCAGGGTCGCTATGACCTGGGACCAGCGATGGCAGCGAGTTGGGTTTTGTCTTTTGGAGAGTTCGGTGTGTGAGCACAGGCATCGAGGGAGGTGGGTCTGTTCATCTTTCAGTCTCCCCACAAACCCAGCTCACGACCTGGAAATCTTCATTTAACATTGGGGATTTTTTAAAGATTCCTTCCTCGAATCAACAGCATGCCAGGTGTCTCCAATCCCTCAGGCTTTCGTTAGGGGCTGAAATTACCAAAAGTGTGAGACCTGTGTCCCGACCTCCAATCTATTTATTGACTGGCAGAGAGGAGCATGGGATGAAGTAACAGGTCAATCGTTCTATAACATGTGATAAAGAAAACCATCATCCCAGGAATGAAGGTATTTTTCAAATGTGAGGTACTGTCATGAAGGTAGGTCCCAGTGGGACCTCTGGGTAAAAAAACAATTACCCCCCCACCCCCACCCTCACCCCCTCAAAAAATTCCATCTCAGTGATTGAAAGAACGTCAGGGTTGACAAGCCAGTGTCCTGCATGTAATCCTTCCCTGGCTGACCCTATGTGAGAGATGCTTTATAAATTGCCCCAAATATTTACCTCCCCTGTCCCCCCACCACCACCCCCTGCCCCACAGCTACACAGAACCAGCCTGCGCTCCCTTGGATAGGACAGGCTTCAGTCATTTGAAGGCAGAGCTCAGACCCTCCTGTGGTGTTTCTGGTCTGAAACAGATCCTGTCCCTTTAACCACGCAAACATATGAGGGGGTTTCAAAAAGTTCACGGAAAAATTGCATTCTCTTCTCATTCCATTTTTTCCATGAACTTGTTGAAGGCCCCTCATATAGACAGACTTCAAGAAATATTGCGCCTTAGAGAATGCCCATCACTGCAGCTTTCTGGGGACCAGAATCCCTTCAATGACATCTTTGAAGCTAGAACCCCCATGCTGTCCTTATGAAGGTATGGGCTGGGGGGTCAACGCTACCAAGAGACGTTTCATTCCTTTGCCAGGCAGTGTTCATGCCAGGGACACCATGTGTGTGGTGACCTGCTCTCTGCTTCCTCTCACTGCCCCAGTTGGTCCAGTGGTCATGGACCAAAGGCCTTTTTCATCAACACAGCATCCCCCAACTCTGTTTGAAGGATACTCTTGGAAGCTTGGCTGACACATGCTTCATGCAGATAAATTTCTAATCCCAGGAAGCAGTCAGTCGAGTGAATTCTTTCACCCTGAGAAATCCTCCAAGGCAACCACGACCACTTCTGTGATTAGTGATAAAGTGTCATTATGTGTCGAGGTGGAAAAAGTAGACTGTTTAGAGATGAATGTATTGCTTGAGGGGGGTCCAATCGGGATTCTTATCAACTGTTCTTTGTACCCAATCACCAAACTGAAGCACGAGGGTGGCTCTGGATTATAAATACCCTCCCCACACAACCTGGTGCTGTTAATGGCAAGGTTAGCAATGCAAACCCACTAGCCATTCCGTGGGAGGAGGCCCTCTATCCCGGTCAGAACCTGCAGTCTCAGAAACGCACAGGGTTGAGAGCTGGCTCGATGGCTGTGGGACACTGGGAAACGCAACAACAAACACAGGCCAACAGAGTCTGCCGACATGTCCCTGAAACCTTCTCTCCCTCCATGGCCTCATGACAACCCCATCCCCCCCATCCCTCACGTGGAGGGTGTCATCGCCTGTCTCCAGCCTTTTCCCTGCAACTCCCCCACCCCTCATCATGCTGCTGTACCCCACAGAGCCCTCCACAACATAAGCGTCTCCTCTCATTCCTCCCTGCTTCAAAAGCGAAGTCTCAATTCTTTGGCTTGGCTTCTAAGGTCCACCCTCATCTGACCCCAATCTCACTCTGAAGTTTCACCTCGACATGGCCCACCGCAGATTCTAAACGTCACCTCCCCCAGCAGCAGACTCCTTGGACCCCCGACGTGCCTTTGCACAGGGGGCCATGCCTCTTTGCCCAAGCCCGAGAGCCGTCTCTGCAACTTGCAACGCCCAGATCAAACAGCCGCCTCCTCCAAGCGACCTGGAGTTCAGCAGGCAGCATCAGCCAGGCCGGGCTTCCAGACATTTCATGTTTCTCGGTGTGCACTCTCCTCGTGCAGTCTTGTTGTGTGTTTACATACCCATGAGCAACCTGAGAGCAGAGGTCGTGTCTGATTCACAGCTTCATCCCTCCCGCCCAACCCCAAGGCTCAATACATGTTTGATGAACGGAAGATTGCTCATCAGAGCCTTGTGCAGCAGTGCTGCCAAGGGATGTTTTCATCCACGGTGGCTTCTCAGTGTCGCTCTGTCACCCTGCCCCAGTTCAGCCCGAAGCATCAGAAATTCAGAAGCCCTTGCAGGGGTGAGGGGAAAGGCATTTTGTTTCTCAAGCAGGAAACCAGGTTATGCCATGGAACACTGAGATATGCAAATGCCTATCTCCTTTGGAAGAGGGACTACACTAGATTATTTTGAAATTAATTCAGCCCGAGCGCCTGTGGAGTTTAAATGTGGTCCTCGGGAGAGTAAGTAAATAATGCATAATGTGAAACCAGAAAGGACACTTGAAATGCACCCTCTAAAGCTCCTCTCGGCCCAACTTTGGTACCAGAACATTCTGGTTGGTAGCATCCCCAGGCAATTTGCAAAGATGAAAATCGACTGCAAAGGGAAATAAAACACAAGCTGGCCCAAGCACAAGCCTTAAATCATTGAAGAGATCTCCAGGGTCTTTTTTTCCTCGTCAACAGCTCCTCACCAACCAGGACAGATTTCGGGTCACTTGATAAAGACGGATCATTTTTCATTAAGCGCCAATTTCACATACATTAATTTAAAAGTGGCACGTAAAAGCCGAAGCTTTAGGTCTGCCGATTAGAGATTTTAAAGTATTTTCATCAAAGATGGGAGTGACAAGGGACGGAGGGACTTTTGATGAGAAAGAGGCTAACGTAGCTGAAAACGAATCCATCTCCTGGCTTCCAGACACCAGCGTGACCCTGCTGTGTGGGCTGTTTTCTGTCATTGCCAGCAGGACTTGTGTGGGGTTGTCTATTCAAGGGGAGAGGGTGGAGCTAAATTCAGGGACATCGTTACCTCTAGGACATCCCTTCTAGGGAAATGTCTCTCCCCTGCCCATCAGGAACAGACAGATAAGATAGGAAGGCTGGAGAGAGACAGTCATGGGACACCAAGGAAGATCGACCTGGAAAGGAAGTGGGACAAGCCACCCCAGCCCCAAGACCTAATGCGTGTGTCTGCAGGATGTCTGTGAGGTTGTGGTGGGGCAGATGTGCCTGCAGGGAGGTCTGCAACACAGAAGGAGCCTGAGTTCTGGATTCAGCCAGCCCTGTTCCAGTCGCAGCTCCAATGTTCTTGGGCTGTGTGGTCTTGGCCTTAGTCTCATTTTCTCATCTTTGAAGTATGGGGTCTGTGCTTATTAAACCCAACTACACAGAGAGGCTGAGGCCTGGACCAGCCAGCAGAGACAGAGCAATTTCCATAGTGACTAGTTCCATATTAATTAATATGGGGACTGTCCTTCATAAAATGGCCAGAGGATGTACACTGGTACAGATAGGAACTGAAAACACAGGGAATCCAGGGCAGATGAGCCCTACAGGACCAGTGGTATGAGTGGCAAAACAGGGAGGGTAAAGGGAGAATGGGTAGGAAAGAGGGAACCGATTACAAGGAACTATATGTGACCTCCTCCCTGGGGGACAGACAACCGAAAAGTGGGTGAAGGGAGACGTCGGACAGGGCAAGATATGACAAAATACCAATTTATAAACTATCAAGGGCTCATGAGGGAGGGGGGAGCAGGGAGGGAGGGAAAAAATGAGGACCTAATGTCGGGGGTTTAAGTGGAGAGAAAATGTTTTGAGAATGATGTACAAATGTGCTTTACGCAATTGATGTGTTTATGGATTGCAATAACAGTTGTATGAGCCCCTAATAAAATGCTTAAAAAAAATAAAATGCTTAAAAAAAAATGGCCACCAAGATACCTCACCCCTAGAGGCACCCCATAGTGGGATGGAGCAGAGGTTGGCCACAGACCCAAGATAGTGTAGCCCCATCTCTGGCTGAGAGAAGGAGCTTCAGTAGGGGAAAATATGTGTATGAATGTAGAGTCAAAGACAGGTGTCCTGGTAGTCTAACGTTCCAGTGTTTAGCTATTAACCAAAAAGTGCAGTGGCACTTTGAATCCACCAAACACTTCCATGGGACAAACAACCTGGAGGACATTCTTGTAAAGGTTGCTGCCTAAGAGATCCCCTAGAACACCTCTATTCTGTTGGAATGGGCCACTAGGAGTTGGGTGGGATTGACACAACAGCACACAACCACAGAGCCAAAGAGCTCTGAGTTCAGCTCCCAACCCCGCCACCTCCTGTGTATGCGGTGTTTCCCTCTCAGCCTTAGTGTTCTTCTATCTCAAAATTAAACACAACGATAATAAAACAACAATCGTATCTCCTTCAGTCCCAGGATTAGGAGACAAGGAGGGGGTGAAACATTGGTGCAGAATAGGTGCTCAGTCAATGGCCTGGAGTCCCAGGCTCACTGTTGCCTCTGCCTCGCTGCCCTGTCCCAAGGCTCTGGGGCCCTTACCTGAGAGAACTGCCAATGAAGCTTCATTCTCTTGGCTTTGGCGTAGCTGCATTCGATGAGCCGTGGGCGGCTGTTGACATCAACCAGGCACCGGTTGTCGTCGTCATCGATGGTGGGACTCAGGATGCCGACGTGGAGCTGCTGGCTGCTTGTGTAGTACACGTTCTGGGAGTCCAGGGAGGGAGAAGGGAGGAGAGAAGGCGATGAATGCCAATGGCCAGAATGAGAGAGAGATGGTGAGTAGGGATTTTTACCAGCCAGCTGGCAAAAGGATCCTAGCAAGGTCGACGCAGGATTCTATAAACAGGTTTTCTACTGCGACCAACAGCAAGGCCCCTCTGACATTGATGCAGTAGGTGAGCTGGTTCACACACACAACTGAAACACCATGATCCGGAAATTAGACACCCTTGCCACATGCCTCTTACTCAATGCACTCTGGCCTCTTCTCCTCCGGCTCATTCCATTCTTTTCTTTCATTGAAAACAAAACCCAACATGGTCATGGCTTAGTACATTGCTTTCTTAATTTGGATTGCTTGGCTTCATCTTCCCTACGCTCATTGATTTCCTTCATAAGTATTTTGTCCCAAGGCAATGTGCTGGTGTGATAGACACAGAGCTAAAGTCCAAGTTCACCCCTCAGGAGCTCAGAGTCTTGGGGACAGAAGATCCTAATACTTGATTCCTATTCGTACCCAGAGTGTGTCGAGTAGGAGTTGGCAAACGTTTTCTTAATAGGGCCAGATGGCCAATATTGGCTTTATGGGCTATACAGGCTCAGTCAACTCCCCTCTGCCACTGTAGCCCAAACAAAGACTTGGACAATGTGTAAGCCCAAGACCATGTTCAAATAATGCTTTATTTATCGAAACAGGCGGTGGTCCCATGGGCCATTGCTTGATGGCCCTGGTTTGGAGGGAAGCTACGTGATCTTTGGCCTTCAAAGTTTCAGTATCTTCCCTCCACCCCAAGCAAAGATTCCTAACAAGAATGCTAAATAAGCTCTCTGAGCTCTTTTCCTCATTTTACTAAAGGAATGAACACATCCCCCTAAAATGAGGCCACTTGGGTGGACCAAGATGCCACATCTTCCTATAGGCTAGAATTCTAGACGCTCTCTCTTGTTAGCCTGATCTATTTAAAATCTCCCACTGGAAAATGTTTTAATTGATTTAAATATTTTAATGAATGACAAATGGTAAAATTAAGAATTTCCTGCTTTAAGAAAAGAGAATGGTTAATATGAATTGTTGACGCAGGGGTGCAGGGCATCTATGGGCCTGTGGTGGGAACAAGGGCTGTCAAAGCTAGGGAGGGGGAAGTAAGGGGTGGTCCTTCATGGGCATATGCTTCCTGACCCTCAGAAGTCTCTGGAGGCATCTGGGAGACTGAGGGCGGAGGGCCATCCCCTAGGCACACAACAATGTTTTACATATATATATATAACAAATATATAAATTACAAATATATTTGTTATATATAGACAGATAGCAATTTAGCAACAACAAAAAAAGCAAAACAAAGAAAAAGAATGAAACAAAATCTAACCAATATTCCTCAATGCTACTGAGCACATATAAAATAAGGAAATTTAGATTCCAGGAGAAAGCCACGTGACCATGACAACTACAGGTAATGCGTCATCTTGAATGGCAGCTTGGAAGATAAAAAGGACATTAGGGGAATCCTGAGCCAATCTAAATAAGTATGCACTGACTTAGCCACTATGCATCGATATTGGTTCATGAGATATAAAAAGTAGAGAATGTCTCATCCTAAGGCAAGAATGTTAGAGATCAAAGATGTGGAATATATGTGAGCTCTCTGTACTATTGTTGCAATTTCTCTGTCAATGAACCCTGGTGTCAAATACACACTTTCCTGACAGAAAAAGAACAAGGTCTTAGGCCAGTATGTTGGTCAAGGTCCCAAGAGGAAGCAGATGGTCCACTCAAGTCAGGGAGGAGGATAAATGAAGGCACTATTTTCAAAGGAGTGAGTAGGGAGAAGGGAGAGGCAGTCCCTGGGGTGGTAACAGGGAGCTGGTATCACTCTCAGGTTCAAAGAGATGAGGGGAAGAAGAGGCTACCAAAAGCTGAAGAGCAAAGTGATGTAGCGAGCTCCCGAAGAATGGTGACCTTCCGTTGAGGGGCAAGGCCAGTCCTAGACAACCCCTCATGGGGGACAGAGTGTTGAAGGTGGTAGAGGTGGTGAACAAGCCCCTCAGTTCCCCCAACCTCTTCCCATCCAATCTTCTGCTGGGTCAGTTCACTGGCAGGAGCCGGAGGACACAGCAGCCTATTGAGACATTTCATAGTCAGTCTCCCAGGTGGAAGGGAAAGGATGGAAAGAGGGGCTGGAGGGACGAAGAAGACACTCAGTACAGGAGACCTGCTCTCAAAGGTCATCTCACCTGTTCTCATATTTGGGGAATCTATGAAGGTAGATATTAAAGTTGCACAGCTGATGGATTCTTCCCACCAGAGAGGTGAAGGGTCATAGTTCTTCCCTGATGACCAGAGGTCAAATGCAGACAGTGTAGTGTCAGGGTTGAAGTCTAACTGAAGCCCAAAGGCGAGGAGAGCCGACTTGAACTGACACTGCCTACGAATGGAGCTTCTGCAAGGAATCTCAAGGCCACTCCTCGTCTCGCTTGGATTTCCAGCTCACCACCAAGGAAAGCTGGTGACCAGCTGTGCTTTCCCGTTTCTTTTGGAGTTAACAGAGAGTTTGAAGACTGGTAGGATTGAGGAAGATAAACAGCCACGTGGTTAAGCATCTCATCCATTCTTCCCACCCACACTTCATCTCTGAGTTGGGTTCTGAGGACACCGAGTGGGAAAGTCAAGTTCCCTAGCCGGGAGGCACCGGTCACCAAGCTGGGGTGGCCAAGATGTCAGGAAGTCATGGTCCCAATCACACAAATACAAAAACCGTTCGTTTTTTCCCCCCTAAGTTTCTACTTTGTTTCTTACTATTGTCAAAATAGACATGAAAACTCACCACCTCCAAGAAGCCTTCCCTGAATATGCAGAGACACAGAGCCCCGACCTGCCTCTCAGGCTTGGCTTCAAAAAGTGCACACCTGTTGACACCCTTGATTTGAATGTACCACACTCAGGGCTGAGAAGAGTTCTTGCTTACCTGTGGGTCAGTGCCCAGATGTCCCGAGACTCGGGGTGGTGGGGTTGCAAGACAAGCAAAGCCAGGGTGCCCAGTCATTCCCATCCCTCTCTTCTTCCCTATCATCCGGATCTTACTTCCATTTCCAGGGCAGGCTTCATATACACAAGTGGCCACCTAGGTAATAGCTGAAATCAGCTTTATCCACTTAGCTGCTCTGAAGTGCTTGGGGGAGATGCTCTGAGAGCCATGTGAGCACTTACTCTCTGGTACAGCTGTCACCAGAGCGGTTTATTACTCCTGCATCTGGGAAAGCCATCATAGGGACAGACAGTTGTTTGTTATTTAAAAAGCAAACAACAAAGGGCTTCTTTGAGCAGCGGAACCAGGAAGCTGGCGGATCACAGAGAAAGATCCAGCAAAGAGGATCCTCTCAAGTGTGACTTGGACATCTCAGAAGCCCAGCTGGTAGTGGACTGAATTCATAAATGGCCTGAACACAAACGTGGGAAACAGTTTTGTACAGGATGTCCCCAGTGTACTGCCTGCAGGCCTACAAGCTCAGCAAGGCTGTCTGAGCCATGATGCCTCACTGGGCACAGTCTGAGTCATTACAAACACACACACACACACACACACACACACACACACACACACACACACACCTCCCCCCTCACATCATTCACTCTGTGAAAGATGCCCTTCGTGTTTAGAGTCTGCCAGGCATGGCGTGAAGCACTGGATGTACAGACATAAACGAGTTATGGCCCTTGTCCTCAAAGAGCTCTTATCTTAAATAAAAAAAAAACCCTCAAACTCACTGCCATTGAGTCAATGCTGACTCGTAGCGGACCCCCTCCCCCCCCCCCAGCCCCAACCCGGGGTTCTGAGTTTGTCACTGTTTACAGGAGTAGAAAGCTCAGTCTTTAACCCATGGAGCTGCTACTGGTTTTGAACCGCTGACCACATGGCTGGCAGCCCAATATGTAACCACTACAACATCAGGTGTAGTGAGGAAAAGAATCCTGTGAAAACACCACTCATAAGACTGTACAGCACTGAGCATGAACCCTCACATAACTAACACCCTCAGTTAATAATAATGTTCTCACCATAACAGGAGGAATTGGCCAGGGGCACAGGGACTATAGGAGGGGACTTATAAAGTTCACGGGAGACTGAAAAGAGAATGGAATTGTTCCATACACGGTCGGAAGTCCCCCAGTCTAGGAACTCTATACTTTCTGCACAAGTTCTTTGTAAACCTAAAACTACTCTTTAAAAACAAAGGCTGTTCATAAAATCATACTCATTCCACAACAGGGTCATTTTACTTCTGTTTCTGACCTCTCTAGCCACAACAGAAGATGCTAAATAATCGTATTAGTCTGGGAACTTTAGGGAAACAAATCCACAGAAACTCATGTATGAGAGAGAGCTTTACATAAAGCTTTATATAAAGGTTAAGTGCGCATCAAGAAAATATCCCAACCCAGTGCTGCCCAAGCCCACAAGTCCAACATTAGGCCACATCTCCGACACCAATCCACAAAGTCCTTCTCCATCTCACAAAACACACACTATGGCACCAACTTCAGGAGGAAAGACAAAGTGTAAGCATCTCAGCACTGGCAGGGGTCTAGACACGGCTGCTCCAGCACCCAGGGCAGCATCGGGGTAGGTCCACGCGGCTTCTCTTTGGGGATGTCTTGCCAGAAAGTGAGCCTTGCAAGCTGAAGCAGGGAACTGGCTAAGGCAGCTGCACCCTGGTCTGACCTGAGAACTAGAAAGGTGAGGCTCACCGACCCATTTATCTCTCCACCCTTCAATTAACCCCACGTGTGTTTATCAGCCAGGTTGGCACAATAAACTTTAACTAATTCAATAATCTATAAAACTGGGGTGGGGGTTGTCAGAGTGTTGCAATCTGCGTGCAGGGCAAATCATCAGAGAAGCTGGAATTGTTGAGGGAGAATGCAGCGCCAGGATTGGAGGAAGATGTCGTCACCACTTGTGATGTGCCGATGACATTCCGCAGCC